ACTGGGCTTAAAAGTGCTTAGCTTTTACTGCGCGTTTATATAGATGAACTAGGTATGCTACCAATCTTATGTAGGTAAAATCAGATGCCCAAGTTTCCAAGAGATGAACTTGCAAAAATACTTTAAAAATTGGCTCAGAATGATCCTTAATAGCAATGATAGGTTTAAAATCTAATCCTGTTTTGCCTTTTACACGTCAAGGAAATTAATTAATAATCTGGACCCTTGTGGCGTTCTTTACTTATTCCTCTTTTGTCTCCTTAAAACTAGTTTCACGCTCCTGGATGGCAGGGGGTATGGTTTAAGCTTACTGTAGTCTTAAAATGTGCATGCATGAATTTCATTTGCAATTTCACGCAGAGAGCATTCTTAATCACATTCAGTACATTCTGGAATTGGTCCTTTTCACCAGGACAATGAACCTAAAAGACAACCAAACAGAGCCTTTTCTACATCAATGTGTACAATTTGGATCCAGTTCATTATGTTTTTCTTAACACACCTTCTTTTAAAAAAAATAAATCCTTCCGGGACAAAGGCATCACTCAGCTGAATTAAACAATTATATTTAGAGCATACATTTGGGAGCCGAGTCAGGAAGTGGGGAGGCGGGGCAGAAAGAAAGAGGCCTTTTGCACCTTTGGGGCCTCTTCACAATTTCATGCATGTTGTAGAAAGTTTGTGTACTCAGTAAAATGTCTCCTGTCGAAAGTGCATGGCCTGCATGAGCCAGGGTCTGTAAGCAGCACATCGCTACTGGTTTATGAAGCCCACACATTTGCTTCTTGTGTCCATCAGCGGTGGTTTAGATATAGTATGGTGCTATTCCGTAAGTGAAGTAATATTTGTAAGTGGGTGTTGGTTTCAAAGTACTTGACATTGTACTTTTGTCTGTGTTCTTTTTAAGCAACTGTTAATTTAAGTCAATGTTTGGCATAACAGATTTGGAAAAGAGATTTAAGATGCTAGTGTACCATTTCTTGCTGTGCATCATGCAAGCATAGCACAAAGAGCCAAGAGAGATCCATTGGATTGTATCCAAAGTTGCACCAGTGGAAGGCTGTGGGTACAACAGATCATTCTCTTCCTCACTGTGTCCCCTGAAAAGAGGGTGGGGGTGAGGACACCTCCCAAACACCATGGGTTGTGTCATATGGGGCTGCGGCAGGGATGTAAGAAGGCTGCAATTTCCGTTCTGACTATAGTCATTACAATCAGCACTGTTTCCATTCCGCTACAATTCAGTTTCCACTAATGTTATGTTATTTGTCTCATTGACTACTATTTAACTATTTAAGTTACGTAAATTACTTAGCTTATGCAACTATTTATGTAGCTTATGTAACTGGCATTCATTTCAATATAAAGGAAATGTCAAAACAATGTAAGTAAGTTCATTGATTAAGTATTGTAATTAAACAACAACAACGATGTGAACAAGTATTGGTCGCATTCACTTCACCAATTTCTATTCCTGACTACTGACAAACATGTGAACTGCAGTCATTTCTTGTTCTCTTCCATTTTTGTTGGCATTCCTAGGCTGTACTAGGAGGGGAGCATTGCCCCAAATCAGGCAGAATAATCTTGTGCCAGCGGACTGCAAGATTCCTGTACTTGATTTTGAGCAATTCCTCCTTCCCACAGCAGTCCCACATGGCACAACTCACAGTGTTCCTCCCCAACCCTCCAAATAAACTTGAAGGAGAGGGTCTGTAGGGAGGAAGGTTGCCAGAAAGTTTGCCTTTGGCTCATGCAATGTTGGATCCAACCCATTCTTTCCAAATGGGCACCTTAATCCATTAAGTGTTTGTTCAGTTGGTGCTCAGAGAGCACAAATGCTGATTAGAAGAAACTGTGCTGTGTGGCTTTTCTCCCCGATCTCAACATCTAGATACAAGGGAAGTATGTATTTGTCACAGTTTCCCTCACCCTTCTTCTGTCCACACAACAACTCTGTGGATAAGTTAACAGAGGGAGATTGTTCACTCTTGAGCTTCATGGCTAAAGGGGCATTTGAACCTAGTCCAACTCTATCCATTACCATACCACTGACAGGTGCCCAAATGCCACAGAAGGAAGCTAGCCAGGATCAGGTCCACATGGTAAAAACAACTCTGTTTTTCCCATAATGCAGTACAGTGGCCATTGAAAGATGCCCGATCAGTCTTCTCCCCACTTGTGATCTTGTGATCCACAGCAAGTAGTATTCAGAAGCATACTGCCTCTGCTACTATATATAGCAACATGACTAGTGGTCATTGACAGACCTATTATTTTGTTGCTGTTGTTGTTGTCTAATCTCCATGAAATGCTTCTGGATTGACACTGCATATAAAAGGGTTCCTGTGTTCCTGCCTTTAAAAGCTCATCCATGAGGGTTCATCCATGGCTCAGCCTCTCTTTGCTGCTGAATCGGAACAAACGGCAATCAGGTTTTGTACAGATTGCTGTTTGTTCTGATTCACCAGTAAAGAGCGTGCTTTCCTGGGGAAAGAATGTTTTCCAATTTTTCTAGGCATGGAACAAGCGGAAGTACAGACAAGCCCTCAGTGTAGCCTGGGATATTTGAACTGCTTCAAAATCTGCCTGCAGCAGTTCACAATTTTTTCTTGCAACCTACATGCTTGAAATGGATCAAGTAGGCAAGTGTTGGCAGGTTCTAAGCTAGAAGGCTAGCACTTTGGGCCATTAAGTCTTTTACATTGCAGGCATGGAATTACCTGTTTCAGGCTGCAATCCAATACCCACTTACCTGGGAATAAACCTCATTGAGCTCAATGGGACTTAATTCTGGGTAGACACGTATTGGATCGCAGTGTTAGGTGCTGCTTTCTGTAGTCCATCAATATTTCTTCACAGTTTGGTAATACTGACACCCCACCCTCTGACCTCTCATATTTTTTTAGGTCCTTTTAACCATATCAAGTCAAGTCTATTAGGATCTACATCGGATTCAAACCTCAACAAGTACAGCACCATCAACAAGATACCCCAGCTCACTCTGAACTTTTCTGATATCAAAAATGAAAAAAAAAGTTCATCGCCTCCATCTTCAGAGAAAACAATTATTGCACCCAAAGTGAAAGACAGAACACACAATGTAACTGAAAAGGTTACACAGGTAGGATATATTCTTTTATATAAACTTTGGAGTGGTTCTGTAAAATTTGTTTTAATGTGAATGGTGTTGCGGATTTCATTCCAGCTTTAGTCTTCAGACTAGTTCATGCATTCTTTTTCTAAGCAAGTCCTTTAGAAAACAGTCACATTTATTCACATGCCTCCTTCACATTCTTTTATGCACCAAGAGAAATGAGGCTGTGGAGTGGGTCCTCTCTGGGGTTACATGGGGGAAATCCTTGCTGATGTAGGAATAATATGTTTGCATCAAGGTGCATGAAATTTTCTATGCAGGAGATGCCCCCAGTGCCTGATTACAGTAAACATTTTCATTTAGATAATTCTTCATATCTATCATCTCTGTAATCCTTACAACAGGGACGTGGGTGGCCTAGGACTTGCCGATCAGAAGGTCGGCGGTTCGAATCCCCGCGATGGGGTGAGCTCCCGTTGCTTGGTCCCAGCTCCTGCCCACCTAGCAGTTCAAAAGTACGTCAAGTGCAAGTAGATGAATAGGTACTGCTCCGGCAGGAAGGTAAACGGCGTTTCCGTGCACTGCTCTGGTTCGCCAGAAGTGGCTTAGTCATGCTGGCCACATGACCCGGAAGCTGTCTGCGGACAAACGCCGGCTCCCTCGGCCAATAAAGCGAGATGAGGGCTGCAACCCCAGAGTCGGCCATGACTGGACCTAATGGTCAGGGGTCCCCTTTACCTTTTTTAATCCTTACAACAGTGCTATAAGGTGAGCTCTGGACTTATGATCTTTCTTCTGCCTTGACTGTGACACTGGGAAACATTTTCATATGACTGTTACATTTCTCTTCCTCTTCAAGAAATGTATAGCTACTGGAGAAAGTGAGAGAAAGGGGACAAATTGGTTCTTTCTGTCTGGAGATCAACCAACAGCTTGAACCTAACTAGATTTGTCTATTTTTTCAAATGATGCTCCAAACATTGCATTTCGTTTGACAGTTGTAAAATATTTTGAGAGCATAATTTGCAAACGGGCCATTGACCTAACACAGGTCATTGGCAACATGTTCTTTTTTTCCTTACCAGATTTTCCCCTGAAAAAGTAAATCGGGATTAAATGGAGAAAACATCAACTGGAATTTGGGTGCCAACAACACTGTGTGGGCACGGCAAAAAACTTGCCAGCATGAGGAGTACTCATTCACAATAAACACCCATCTGGAAGCACACTTAGTCTCTTCTCGGTCTAATTCAGAATGTCTTGTTGAACATGAAGATCATTTTGCTGCGTATTTGCAGAATCTACTTGTATAAGTTATGGTAGCGTAAACCCAGTTTCTTCCTCTCTCTCTCTCTCTCTCTCTCTCTCTCTCTCTCTCTCACACACACACACACCTTAATGCTGGTGTGATAAATTAATGCCAAAATACGCTATTCCAATTCACTAGCTATTCCATATCAGAGATTAGTGTCTTAAAAGGGGGAAATTGATCTACATTTAAATGAATAACATGATCATTTACACATTTATACAAGACCCTGGCAGAATCAGTTTAGGACAGTATGACTTGCCAGGAACTCTACAGCTCACTAAATTTAAAATTAAATTTGAAGTGCTCCCCAAGATGCCAAGAATACTTCACAGAATACTTCCAGGGCAATTTAGCCCATGTTTCTATTCTCTTTATAGTTTTATAAAATTTTGGTCCTGGTGCTTGCTTTACAGTATTTCTTCTGAGGATGAGAAAGAAACAAAGAATCAAGGAGTGGTTTCCTTCCCACGTATAACCTTTTCTCATTCATCATTCCTAGTTTTTGTGTGCTCGGTGCCTTCAGCACGCTGTGTGTGTGACACTTTACAGAGTACGAGAAGACAGGTCTCTGCCCCCAAGGAACTTGGGGAAGGGTCATAGCTCAGTGGTACAGCATCTGCTTTGCTTGCAGAAGGTCCCAGCTTCAAATCCCAGCATCTCCACATAGCGAGAGCCCTATCCAAAAGCTACCTGTCAGTATAGACCAGGTGTGGCTAACCTTTGGCCCTCCTGATGTAGTTTTTGAACTACATCATCTATGGCCGTTGACCACTGGGAATTGTAGTTCAGCAATATCTGGCAGGCCAAAGGTTTCGCACACCCGCACACCTGGTGTGGACAATACTGAGCTAGATCAGGTGTGCGAATGACTTGGCATCAGATAGCTTCCTATGCTACTGTGAACTGGCAGTCTATTCCATCTGCTTAGAGTTTGAGGAGCCCCTGAAATTTAGAGTTGTTCCCATTCTGACTGGACTGTTATGACCCATATGAGGTTTTCCCCATCACCCTGACCCTTTATCCTGAACCTTCAGGTTGCAGGTGATGGGAAAGACCTTTGCCCAAGACCCTGGACAATCGCTGCTGGTCAGAGTAAGACAGTCCTGAGCTAGATGGGCAAATTGTCTGATCTGATATAAGGCATCTCCTTATGTTCATATACATGAAGAGGTGTCAGCATTGCATCCCATGGCCTTAAATGCTACACCTATTGGCAGTGACGGTGTCACACATTTGCTCTTCGTCATTCACTTCACTTTCTTCTGCCACATAAAGAAAATGTGGTGTCCCTTCCTTTTATTGATGCTGTGGCCTTGCCTTTGATCTTCCTGGGCAGAGAAGGGCAGAGTAAAGTTTGAAGAACTTCAGTGAAAAATATAGTAGTGGCCAGCGGGACGAAGTAGGAGGGACATTGCTAACTTGACTTCCCAATGCTGTGGTCACTGCTGGTAACTGGGAGGGTGAGAGACAAGGTGGCAGGAAGGTCAACACAGTGCGAAAGCAGCAGCAGAGCCAATCTGACACTCCTGACACTGTACCTACACCGCACCAACCTCCCCTTTCAGTTATCAGCAGAATGCCATGTGGTTATAGAGTGGGGTCATGTAAGTGACACCTAGCCTACTGTGCCAGCCGCCAATGGAAGGAGAATGTCAGTACATAATTTTAATGTTGCAAGGGAAAGAAACAAAAAGAAGCAAGTGAGGCCAACTGAACAGGTGGTGGGGTGTTCAGTGGATCTTTTTGATTTAGCACAGTTCCCCCCCATTTTAATACTACCAGATGTGCAAATATTTATCACCTGTCCAATCCAGTCTGCCTCACACAGCATTTGTTATGCCAGGTGGTAATTATTCAGTATGCAAATTTTCCAAATAGGAATTAGCAGCACTGGTGATCTATCCCACTGTCTGAAGATTAAGTTCTGTGAATTTATTAAGTTGTAAATGTTATCTGTGTTTGTAATTTTCGTGGATGCATTTTAGTCGTGCATTCTTATGTGCTATTCCAAAAGGATTGAGTGTGTGCTTGTGTTGGCATGCTAAAATGGCTAACTGCTGGTGAATCCTAAATTAGGGGTTGTCAGCACATTGCCTGTGGGTCCCATGACACCTCTGAAGGCCTTCATTAATACCCCCTAGGACAACGGCCACAGACGCAAAGCTTTCAACTTAAAAAATAAAAGTATAGCCTTACTGAAAGGAAAGTTATAAAACAAAATTTGCAGGAACCCTTCTACAGTAAGTGATTTCCGTGAGATGAGACATGCCAGCTTGTAGTCAAGATGCATCTTTCCTGTGGTGTGTCTGTTTGAGTTCAGATCATCCCTAGACCCCTAGATATTATTTTCTGCAAATGATACTATGCAATAATGTGGGAGGAGGTATAATAATCCCCTCCCCAGGTAGCAAATGCAAAACATAAAAACTTTGCAAAGAGGTCTCAGCATATCAGCTGCTGTGCAGGACCTAAAGCCAGGCACTCGTGAAGGATCAATGTATAGTTAACTTGCAGCATAATGGCAAGCATGTCTACTCAGAAGCCAGTCACTTTTGTTTAATGGGGATGAATGCCAGGTAAGTGGATAAAGGATAGCAGCCTAGGTTTGGAATTGGCATTGGGGGAAACTGGAGTCTTGTGCCATTAATAGCTGTATCTCCACAATCAGAGCCAACAGGACGCGGCTGAAATCCCATGGAAAACAGTGAGGTTGTCTGGGGTTGGGAGAGCACTTTCCCTAATTTTGCTATTTTTCTAGAAAAAGAGGTGCCAGAGCTCACCATGAACGCCTCCCTTGTTCTCTTATAATGGAAATGATGAGCAATCTGAGAGGTGCTGGAACTGAGTTCCAGTGAGTTCTGCCTGGAAAAAAAACCCTGGCTTACACCACATCCCCATGGAAGCCATTTTGTGACTGGCACCCACAGAACACTCTCAAAATTCGGAGTCCAAATAGGTTGGCAACCCGTGTTCTAAACAATATGGTGAAGCAGGAATTTAAATATAGCTATATTTAGAATTACCTTATTCCGTGCTGTAGATTGAAATCTTGAGGACAAGGTTAATTCCATAGTGTATAGCTAATGGCAGTGGAAAGCAGCCTAAAAAGAGAATCTTGTGAACTGTGCACTTTATCATATACCACCTAATTTCCAGATATCCTAAGCCAGACTATAACTCTTGGGCAAGGGAGTGGGTAGCAATTTGCTTTTTATATCCTTCTGTCCTATTCATCTTTCTTGACAACCAGCTCAGAAGAACAGCCCAGTTGCTACATATTTTACACTGACAAGTTCAGATGGGGTCTTGGCAGTGATTGTCAGGAAGAGGCAAGTCTTCCCTAGGGCACAAAAAAGTAACTTTTATTAAAGAAAGCTGAAATGCAAAAACCTGACATCCCTCCCTTTTTAATGATTTTTTTTAAAGGAGATTCTGACCCTCAAACTATAGTTTGAAGAAAGAGGCACAATAGTACCTAACATTTTCTTCTTCTTTCCTGCCCTCCCCCCTTCTCTTTCTGTCTCTCACACACAGAGAGAGACGGAGAGACGGGGACAGAGACAGAGGTGGACTCAAAACACATATTAAAAAACGCTGTGAAAATGCTATATATATAGCATTTATATATATATATATATATATTATATATATATAAAATGATATATATATATATATATATATATATATATATTAAAAGTTTTGAAAAACACATTGAATTTTTCATAGCTCACTATCGCCATCTAGGGTCACATTTATATATTGCACTTTACAACACATTTAAAACATTTTATTTTCAGCTGTGTAGCTGAGTCCTGAGACAGAGAACTTCCTGAGAACTTCAGGGGACTGTTTCCATTTCTGGAGCCATTTTTGTATCCAAGCCATTCCCACAACTCTTGTATGTGTAACATAGTCATAGAGGATCACTGTGGAACTACAAAATCGGGTTGTGTGACCAGCCCCTAAGGAATTGCTCCTTAATTACTGAGAAAGCTTAAGGTTTAATCTGTATTTTCCAATTATGCCTGTAATCATCTAGTAATGTAAGCTTAATGCCACTTCATTACTATGTTGTCCTTGTGATTTGTTCAGTTACAGTGTCTCTCTTGTCACCTGTCTCTCTCTTTCTCTCTTCCTGTTCCTGATGAGAAAGGAACATACACACACCACGTGGGAAATGTTGCTCTTCTACATTAATTTTTAATACCTTCCTCCAGTTAAGATTTCAGCTTTTATTGGGGTTACATAGTTACAAAACTTTTTTTTTTTTTAATAATTGCAACACAGGTCCTAATTATGGTAATGATTTAAGTGTGCTTAATTACACTATCATTTCCAAAGTGTAATTATGCAACAAAGATGTGGAAAAACAGCTGTGTTGGGAGGGAGGGAGGAAGAAATGTGAGCGGGGGGTGTACGCTTTGCAGAGATGGGCCCAGCAGCAGAGATCAATGGGCTGATTCTTCCATGTCTCGCACCTGTGAAATCATTAAGTGGGTACAAAATGCTAACAAATCACAATGGTGTGCAGGTGTGCAGAGATGAAAGCCTAAGCCAGGGACAAGAGATTGGAGAATGGGCTTTAAAGCCTGGATGTTTTCAAAAATTACAAACGTGGCATTTTTCTCTTGAAAGGGGATCAGTGGCCTTTTTAATGGTGCTTTCTTCCAAGCAGCGTTAGGCAGGAGGCCTAATCCTGTAAAAGACACTCCGTTGTTTATGCAGCTGGAGTTAAATCAGCCTGCCGTACAGGTCTGCCCTGTTGTCTTTATAGAGCAAGATGGTTTTATACTGCACCTGTTGCACCATGCAGGCCACCAGACATTTTCTAGGTGAGAACAGGGACACTCTGCATTCTAAGGATCATCACCTTAGCATGTGTAGCTATGTAAGCGCATGTGCCTGTACGTACATGCTCTCTCACACACCTTGTCAAAAGCTCTCCTTTGCCTTCATATTCTGTGTAAGTAACCCAGGAGCCTAATCCACGTTTTTGTCAGTTGTGTGTAAGAGATCTCTGGTAGGCCCACATTCCCCCGCTCCCGTTGGACTTGTTCACATGTCATCTTGAACACAGGTACAAGTTATCTCTACGTACCTGTCTAAGGGCATCGGAAGGATGGAAATGTTACAATAATAGAGCATTTCCCCCCTTTAGCAGTGTGTAAAACTTTCCTACTTGTCTTCAGAAGCGCCATTTCAGTTTTCAGGGTACAGTTAGGCCAAATCAGGAAAATAAATTATATTAGGCAAGCATTCGGCTGCTTTAACTGAAGAACTGATTCATGAATGAACTTGTGCTAATTGAAAACATCTAACCAACAGGTTTCCATTAGAAGTTCTGGAAGACAGGTAGTTAATGAACGATCAGACAGTTTAAAAGAATTGATTTAGGAAAGATTAGCAGGCACATGATGTTAAACTCAAAAGAAACACATTTAAGAGGAAAGCACAGTTTTTATCATGAAAATATTGCGGTGTATGAATAGAATCCTGGAGATCCAATTGGATCTCCAGGGGACCATTTTTGTTTGGATTTCACGTCTACTGGACCTTGCTTAGCCTAAAGTGGGTCAGACTTAAGGAGCTTCCAGGCTCACAGTTTATTGAGCATTGATGCCATTAAGTTTGCACAAAACATGCACCGATGTTGCTCAACATT